ACTAATGGCCTTAGACTGTATTTTGATTTTTATATACCTGTCCGAAAATCATCTGTCCGAAAAACACCTGTCCGAAGGGCATCTGTCCAGAAAAATCACCCGTCCGAAAAAACATGTCCCGAAAAAACACTTGTCCGAAAATCGTCCATCCGAAAAGTCATATGTCCGAAAAGTCGCCTGTCCGAAAAACGCCAGTCCGAAAAACTAATGTCCGAAGCAGCCAATCAAAACCCTTTTCGAATCACTTAGCCAGTTCCTAAAGGTTCGAGGTGTAACTGCCACCAGATAGCCCCACGTGGGGAAAGCCCCGGAATCGTGACCAAAACCAAGTTTCATCGGCCGTATCTTAGGGAAAAACTGCCCGAACTCATTGAGTCACTCTCCAAACATGTATGATACGGTAGTGGTTCATATCCCTGGAAAATACCCTCGCATTTTCTGTTGAATCAGATTTGAATAGGTTACCCTGAAGGTCTTGGGAGATTTTTCAGCCACCCTTCCCATTTCAAGGTCCGAAAATGACTTTTCGGACAGTAAGATTTTCGGATGGATGATTTTCGGACAGGCGATTTTTCAGACGAGCGGCTGTTCGGACGGGTGATTCCTCGGATGAATGTTTTTGGGACCGGCGTCCTTTCGGGCGGTGATTGTTTTTCGGACGGATGTTTCCAGAACGGGTGTTTTTCGAACAGGTGATCGCCACCCCTGTATTTTACCACCCAAACGTAACAAACCTTACAAAAGCCCATTAAAAAATCAAAATAGAAGTTGTTTTGGTACTGGACTGTTAGCAGGGGGAACCAACTTTCCCAGTAATCCTGTCCCGATCTAAAAATATAATCATTTAAAAGCACTTTACACTAGTTTTAGATAAAAAAACCAAATTTTTTTTCCTGGTTTTCCTGGTTGACCTAGTAATCAAATATGAAGTGTTTTCACATTGTTTTTAGTAAATTTTGACTATATTTCAAGTAGAGAAAATCTTTCAAAAGTTAGAAAAATTTTTGAAAAAGTCGAAAATTTAGTCATTTTGGGTCTTTCCCCCCGCTAATCCTAAAGGTTCTATAGGATTTTTCGACCTAAAATTAAATTTTTAATTAAAATATGGGTAGTTTTTATGCTCAGGACTAGTTAAAAACCATTTAGAAACGCATGCGCTATTTAGAAAAAAATTTAGGCTCGGGCCGAAAAAATTTGGTTCCCCCTCGAAAATCCTAAAGAACCAACAGTTCAGTACCGCCCTGGTCATTATGCATAAAAATCCTTCCAAAGATTAGGAAAATTTTCCAGATCCGCGACGCCATCGATCAAGCCTTCACGGTCTCCAAGGCTGTCAGCGACGACTTTGAAAATGCGGCCGTCGTCTACTTCGACTACGGAAAAGACTTCATCAAGAAAGCCCGCGTTTCCCCGGACGCCTACATCCAAATGGCCCTCCAGTTGACGTACTTCAAGGACCAGGGCCGTTTCGATCTGACCTACGAACCGGCAGTGATGCGTCTGTTCCGTGATGGTCGTACGGAGACTGTCCGCTCGTGCTCCAACCAGAGTTGCGCCTTTGTCCGCGCGATGCGCGATGAGAAGACGTCGGATGCGGAGAAATTGCGTTTGTTGAAGCTGGCTTGTGACCGTCACCAGGATTACTATCGGAATGCGATGGCCGGCAGGGGTGGGTATTAGTATTTGGAACTTTCCAATACAAAAATCTATTTTTTGAAGCTTCTAAAATCTCACTTTTCCAGGTGTTGATCGTCATCTATTCGGCCTGTACGTCGTCTCGAAGTACTACGAAATGTCTTCCCCATTCCTCGACAACGTCTTCTCGATGAGCTACGCCCTGTCCTCCTCGCAGACGCCGCAACATCAGTCCGTCGAGTACTCCGCCGTGCTGAACAAGGAGCGCGAGCTGTTTTGGCCTGCCGGAGCCTTTGCCTGCCCTGATGGCAGCAAATACGGTATTAGAGTTGAAATTTGACGTTGACTCAATTTTTTAAGGTGTGTGCTACACGATCGGCACCACCGGCGATATGATGTCTTTCCACATTTCCAGCAAGAAGAGCTTCAAGGATACGGTGGGTATTAGTGAAAATTGGAAATAATAGCCATAAAAATAGCAATTTTATAACCGGTTACTTTTTCAGGATTGCCACCGCTTCCGCTCTCAACTTCTCGACTCCTTGCGCGAGATGAGGGAGATGGTCGAGGCGGCCACTGCCAAGCAATAGAAGCAAAAACATGAACTGACCTACTAATCCTCCTACTCGTATTACGGTTGTGATTTTGCGATCGCGCATAATCCAAAAAGGGTTCTAGGCCCGCCAACTTCGGTCATTCAATGCGGGTGTTAGGTGTAGCCCTTCCCCGCTTCATCCTGTCCCTCCCCCCCCCCCCACACTTTCTGTAGTAAGTGTACATACCTTGACTCCATAGGTTTTGGCCAGGGTTGGTATGTATGATTTTGTTGAAAAAAAGCGAAATCAAGGAGCTCTATTCAAAATTCAACTACAACCAACCCTGTCCTCTACCCCTGACCGCTTCAAACACACCCCACACCAGCTGCAAAAGATTGGCAAGGAGATGCATTTAAATTAAGTTAAAAACTAACCCCACAACTGGCTTATATGACTCCGTCCCCTCCCTGCCCTCCCCTCCCCTGCCCTGCCCTCCTCCCCTCCTCCCCTGCCCTGCCCTCCCTCCTCGCCCCCGCCCCTTCCGCTTGTCTGGTGTATAAAGTGTATATATGGGCTGTGCTCCCTCCAAGTCAATGGCTCTATGTGGCTTCCCCCCATTTGGGGTATTTGGGTACGAATAAATACAGAATAAATACGTTTATGCAATGTACAAAGAGGTAGACGATGTGAATAGAGACAGAGCGCGGTGAGGCCTAGCTATTAGAGGAGCTTCAGGTCATCGGGAAGTTGGCATTTGTTGGCCGAGATGATGTCGGAGAGATCGACGACACGTCCCTCGTAGCGCATCTGAGTTTGGGGTTGAGCGTCGTCAAGGTTAAAAATGGACGATAATAGAGGTTTTTGATACAAAAATGGATAATATTTTTTAAGGATAGCTTGTAAAATTTTTACATTGAATGGCAAAAACAAGTTCAGCAATTTCGTCTCCATTAATGGTTAGTATATAGAGGGTGGAAACTCAACGAAAAATTCCTCTGTGCCTTGGTATCACTCACACACACTCTCTGCCTCTCACTCTCCTCCCTCTCTCTCTCTCTCTCTCTCTCTCTCTCTCTCCCCTCTCTCTCTCATCACTCACTCTCTCTCTCTCTCTTTCTCTCACTCTCTCACTATCGTCCTCTCTTCTCTCTCTCTCTCTCTCTCTCTCTCTCCCTATCCCCCTCTCTCTCGCTCGCTCGCTCTCTCACTCTCTCGCTCGTTACATACCTCCAAGAAAATCGTATCCGGTGCAGAATCACAAGAAAGCCGCGAAGCAATCGGCTGCCCCTGTACGATATGCTGACGTCCGAATTCCATATCTGGCCTGACGCGCACGTTGTAGATGCGGGCCTCGAATCCTGAGAATGAGGGTAGTACATTAACCCTAGATCTCCTATCCCCTACCGATCCATGCTCCACTTGCCGACGATGAACACCCCATCATTCTCACATCCAGAATACGCCCCCTGCGCATCGTACGTCAGTCGGGTGCGCCCGATTTGCTAGAGCCCACTCAATAAAACGATGTTCCTCTGGTGAAGTTACCTCTCCCTCGATCGGCGAGAAGATCAGAGGAGCCCTTGGTTGTTCACCATCTTCTTCAAGCATTTCGCACGCCAAGTCCCAGCCGCGAACACCGTTGAACCGTCTAGGAACACCATCCGAATTTGATCGTTTAAATATTTAACGCACTTGTCCGGAATGGAATGGGTTTCAAGGAGTTCATTCTTCTTGTTTGACTCGCAAATTTGCCCGGTGCACATGCCTGAAATTTGATATATTCTGGTAAAATCGTGTCCAAATTCGCAGAAAACAATAAAATACGCACTTTCCTGAAAACAAAATGTTCAGGATTATAGAAACCAACATTTTTGCAAATGAAAGCGTAGGATCGACTGGTTTTCCCTCTCTGAACAGCTGCATTTCAATGGAAGGGCTCGCCGTCCGCTGTTCTGAAGGCATCCAACAGGAGCTATCGATTGCCCTAAAATTAAGGGGTTTATTTTTAAACGTTTAAAGCGTGAGCTGTCTAAAACTGATTAGTACTAATTATTCAGATGTGCACTTACTTTCCAATCGGATCTCCCTTCTTCACTTTACCACCATACATCTCTGGCGCGATACTACCGATTTGGACGTGATAACCTTAATTTAACTTATTTACACAAATTTTCTTTTATATTTACCTTGCCATTGGCCGGAGCCGTAGATCAACACTCCTGGTTAGCGCAATCCTTGTCAGCGGTGGCTGTAAAGGCAAAAATACTTTTCCATATATTTCTAAAGCGTACTTTTAATAGCTTATCGTTTCCTTGACTAGGGAATTACCTAAAAACTTGTTTCTCGCCTAGGAAAAGGGGAAGCCGCTGGCCGCCGCCAGTTTTTGGCACTGTTTTAAGATCCACACAACAAGCACTTTCCAGAGTAGAAAAATCCTTTTAACGAAGCTATAAATATACCCCAGAGTTATCAGCTAGTCCACTATTCCGGTAAACCCGGCCCCGGTATATGGGACATTTTGCTCAGCTCCCGACCTTGCATCCAGGGTTCGAAACCCCTCCTTGACAGACTGCTCAAATTCCACTTTTGCTGCAAGGTTTGCTGCTTTTTCTTCTTACTTTATTCTTCCACCAGTGGAAAAAGACCGCTTCGCGGCCATTTTCCACTGGACCCCGTCCAGGAACTATGAATTTGAATACCTTCTTTTTTTTGCCTGCGGCGCTAGAACCTGAGCCAAGGAGCCATTCGTTGGCCTGCGGCGCCAGAGCCAGCGTTCCGCTAGAACCTTTGAGCCTGCGGCGCGAGAGCCTGGATAAAGGACCCATTCTTGGCCTGCGGCGCGAGAGCCCGGGTCGAGGACCTTCTTTGGCCTGCGGCGCTAGACGGCAGGTCCAACTCGCTTCGCGGCCATTTCCACTGGGCCCAGTCCCGGAGCCATGAATGTGAATACTTTCTTTTTTAACCTGCGGCGCTTGAATCTGAGTCAAGGAGAGCCAGCGAGCCGCTAGAATTTGGGAGCCTGCGGCGCTAGTTACTGGTTTTTCTCCAGGAACTGGCCTGCGGCGCGAGAGCCCGAGCCAAGGACCTGTTCTTGGCCTGCGGCGCGAGAGCCTGGACCAAGGGCCTTTTCTTAGGCCTGCGGCGCTAGAGCGAAGGCCAAGCCTAAACCTGGCGCTAGAATCCTTTTGCCTGCCGCGCTAGTTACTGGTCTTTCTCCCGGATTTGGCCTGCGGTGCAAGAACCGAGAGCCGAGAAATATGTTTTGTTGCCGAACAACCAAAAAGCAAAACGTGAAATTCTCGCAGGATCCGAACCCGAGACCTTGCGCGTGGTAGACCGAGCGCTATTCCACTACACCAAGGGGCACATGGGAAGAGACGGCGGGAAAGGCCTCTTATGTCCTGGCGAGGCGCGGGGGCAAAGATAGGGGTGACCATTGTTCCCGGAGGGAGGCCGTCAGGTCACTTTACAAAATTCGATTTTGCAGTCTGAACCCTGCTAAAAGAGTTTTGTAAAGATATTAAGATGCGCGTGATCAACCGTCCTTGATTCCATAAACGGTGCAATTTCAGCCCGGAATTCCATCAGGGCTTCGAGTTGAAAGCCCGGACACCCCGGCCCGATTCCCGCAGATTTATTAAGGACCTTTCAAAAAAATCTTTATAAAAACTTTGTTTCAAAAATTTGGCAAAATCCGAAAAAAGAATGTATCTGAGGAATTACTTTTGCCATCTACCCTCCAAAAATGAGGCCTCAATTCCCTTCTACGAGGGCCGAGAAAAGTTCAGGACAACCTGTAAACTTTTAAAATGTTGAGAAATTTTCACACTTTTGCTTAGCAAATCGTAAAATGAAAAGAAAAACGAAAAATCCAAAAAAACGTTTTTATGAATGGGATTTCCCACATCCATGCCAAAAATCAGCTCCAAAACTCAGGCCTGACGGCCGAGAAAGAAGCGACCATTCAGAAAACAGACATACTTTTCTCGCTTAGGATGGGATGTATGCTAGGTCGCAGTAGAGGTTTGCGAAGGTTTGGCGAATTGGGAATGCCCCCATATCCCCCGCCCCACGCGCTGTTTTATCCTTGAATAGTGCAAGTTCATAATGCTGCGCAGATTCAATGGACTTGCTCTAATGGGTTTTCTTACTTTGGAAGGCGCTTACTGTGTGGATGCCAACACGGATGATTGAACAGAGGCAAATTG